CTACCTCCATCCCTCACTCCTGCCAACACCGCAGATTTTGCAGCGCCAAATCTGCATGCAGAGAAGGCAGACGTCGTGCTCCGCAGGGAGAGGGATACTATTTCTTGTGCCTCCGTGTACCAGGAAACTTGATAGCCCAATGGGCCCCTCCTTGGTTCCCTTAACAGGTGGAACTGCCAGAATCTCAGCAATCGTGTCAGATATGCCCATTAGTCCATGTGTCAGTGGACGGTGCAGGCTAACCTTTGTGGCTCAGAAGAGGACTTCTAGGAGGGATAGGACTGGTCTCCAGTGAGGCCTTTGTTCCTGGCCGAATTCACTGAACTGAAGACTTGTTCAGACACTTGGAACAAGTGGCAGGAACCAGAAACTGAATAGTTTTCATGATGCTTGCGTGGTCCAGAGACCTTTCCTTGTTGAGCTTTTCACCCTCAAGTCTAATTCTGTCCTTTCTCTTTGTGGCAATTTACAGATGCTTGGCCAGCCACTGACTTACCTGCATCGACAATAGGTAAATCACCCTCTCACCGCTCCCTAGAGCTCACTGCCTATCTCTTTCAAAAGTTTCTTTAGAAATTGATGGAATGAGGCTGAAGGTGGGCGCCTTCGCTATTCATGTCCCTGCAGGTTGCCTGGGGAGGAACGTGGCCACCCTGGGAACCTGGTCCTGGGTCTGATGATGGAGGGTGGAGTTGCTGTTGACCAGTCTCCCCTGGGAATCTGTGTTATGTGTTCAGGGAAGATCCTCATCCAGGTGCTCAAGACAGTTCCCTAATCCTCTGGGTTCTTGTTCCTGGGCCTCAGCCAACGGGTACAGAATTGAGCTGAGTAGGGGACAGCACCTATCCCCACAGCTGTCTGGCAATGTCCTGTTATTGCTGGCCCTTTGCCAGAAGCCCGAGAGAACCATATGGGTGCCACGAAACTCCCGACCATGGGGCAGGTCTCGCCCTCCTATCCGGAGCTGTGCAGCTTCATCCTGTGTGAGAATGGAGTCAGAATGGGGAGTGAGGCTTCCATTCCTGTCACTTCTAGAGGGGTTTCAGGTTCTTCCCCAGTACTTGAGCTTCCATAGATCTGGGCAGAGTAGGACATCACTACTTCTTCCACTGCGATGAGACTGAACTGCTTTTCAGAAAGTATTCAAAGGTGATTACTTGCCCAAGAGACTTTGGCCATCAGGAAGTGCCCTGAGTATGGAACATTCCTTAGATCATTGATCTCATGATCCATATGGATGAAGAGTTTTTGTGTTCTTCTGTAGGATCTGAATCTAGTTTGGCCCTGAGGCTGGTGAATGGAAGTGACAGGTGTCAGGGCCGAGTGGAGGTCCTGTACCGAGGCTCCTGGGGCACCGTGTGTGATGACAACTGGGACACCAATGATGCCAATGTGGTGTGCAGGCAGCTGGAATGTGGATGGGCCCTGTCGGCCCCAGGAAATGCCCGGTTTGGTCAGGGCTATGGACCCATTGTCCTGGATGACGTGCGCTGCTCAGGGTATGAGTCCTACCTGTGGAGCTGCCCCCACAATGGTTGGCTCTCCCACAACTGTCAGCACAGTGAAGACGCTGGTGTCATCTGCTCAGGTGGGCCTCCAAGACCTTGGGCTCCCTCTGTTGGGCTGGAATTCGCTCAGGAAGAAAGTCCTAATTACATTCTGATCTCCTCAAAGCTTGTTCTATGTTTCCCATGTTTCTGAAGTCTTGTTAGCGCTCTGCTCAGAATCCATATGAATTCACTACCTATTGTTCCTGTGGTTACCTGGGACAGGGACCAAGCTCAAACTGCAACCCAGACTTTATCCCCATCCTGAGGCAGTGTAAGGAAGAGGCAGAGGAGAACAGTGCTGGCTCCCCAGGGCTCCACTTCTCCCCTGCTGAGTAGCACTTGGTGAGGGTATCATGGACACAGCACAGACAGCAGGAAAGGGCAGTGATCCTCTCACTGCAAGACACACTGGACTAAGGATGTTTGTCTGGGGGTGGACTCTCAGCTGACAGCCAATAGGGGGATGTGGAAATAGAGGCAGAAGGCTCACAAGTGCACAAGGGTGTCTGTTCCTGTCAGGCGTGTGTCACACGGAGTTGGAGTCCTTGACCTCAGCACTTTTCAGAACACTGCAGAGCACTGCCTGTGCCCCAGGTCTGGTGTGGGGAGGGCAGCCCCCATGGTCTGGTGTGGGGAGGCAGGCCAGGCAGGACCTTGTTATTGCCTGTGGTTGGGGCTGGAAGATCACATGAGGGATTTTGGCTGGAGTGGCCTCCTCAGCCCTGCTGACTCAGGAACTGCCAAGACATACCAGGGAAAGGATTGGTTTTCAGTCAACCTGGTCACCCTGGGCAGACACCAGGTTAATCACCTTGAAGGGGGCAATGATCAGGATCTGCCCTGATCTCTTCCAAGGAACATCTCTGTGGGAAAGTGCATGGCAATGACCTTCTGTGTGCCAGGGGAAAAGGATGGACTGGGTGTCAGACTCGTGCAGTTCCTTCCTCTTTATTCTAGTTTTACAGTTTCTGTTAATGCATCTGATCTGACCTTCTCTTTTCTTTGTCACAGCTTCCCAGTCCCGGTCAACGCCCAGGCCAGGTGAGTCCCCGGCATCCTTTCTTGGGATGTCCCTTCTCTTTCTGCCCAATCACCCCTTCCCCCACTCCACAGCGCTCTCCTGCTCTTCTGTGTGGGTACTGTGGGGCAGATAACATCTCCCCACCACTTTGTAACGGAGACCCCAGCATGGCGCCTCAACAGACATGGGATTGAGGAGGCTTTGACTTCTCCATTTATCTCAGCTTTCATGAAGCAGTTTCAAACTGTACTATGGGTAACCCTTACAGTTTCAGGAAGTGGTCTCATGTTTAATAAGCTTTGACTCCTTTATATTGAGAGCTGATCTAACCTTTCAGAGAACTGAGAGTGGTTGAAAAAGTCACCTGGGAAGGCAATGTCAGTTGCAGCCTTAAACATGACTTTGTCCATGGGCAAGCTTTGCCAGCGCAGGCCTGATGCCTTCACCCCTCACTCCATCAAACACCCCAGATTTTGCAGGGCCACATCTGCATCCAGAAAAGGCAGAGGCCGTGCTCACAGGGAGAGCAATAGTAAATATTTCTGGTGCCTCCACTCACCAAGAAATTGATACCCTTTGAGCAGCTTTTTGGTTCCCTAAACATTTAGGCTGGAACTGTCAGAGTCTCAGCAATGGCGTCAGATGTTCCCATCAGTCCATGTGTCAGTGGATGGGGCAGGCTAACCCTTTGTAGCTGAGAAGAGGACATCTAGGAGGGATAGGACGGGTCTCCAGTGAGGGCTTTGTTCCTGGCTGAGCTCACTGAGCTGAGGACTTGGACAGACACTTGGAGCAAGTGGCAGGAACCAGAAACTGAATACTTTTCCTGATGCTTGCCTGGCCCGGAGACCTATCCTTGTTGAGCTTTTCACACTCATGTCTAATTCTGTCCTTTCCCTTTGTTGCAATTTACAGACGCTTGGCCAACCACTGACTTACCTGCATCGATAACAGGTAAATCATCCTCACACCCCTCCCTAGGGCTCACTCTCTACCTCTTTCAAGTATTTCTTTTGAAAATGCTGGAATGAGGCTCAAGGTATGCTCCTCTGTTTTTCATGTCCCTGCAGGTTGCCTGGGGAGGAATGTGGCCTCCCTGGGAACCTAGTCCTGGGTCTGATGATGGAGAGTGGAGGGTCCTAGTAACCTGTCTCCCCTGGTATTCTGCTTTATATGGTCAGGAAAGACCCTCATTTAGGTGCTCAGAACAAGCCGTGGATGGCTCCCTGATCCTAACACGTCCTCATTCCTGGCCCTCAAGCCATAGTTTGTAGATTTGCAAAGAGTGGGGGAAAGCGCCTGTCCCCGTAGGTGTCTGACAATGTCCTGCCATTCCTGGCAGTTTGCCAGAAGCCAGAGAGGACCATGTGGGTGTCACAAAACTCCTGAACATGGGGCAGGTCTTGGCTTTCTACATGGAGCTGTGCAGCTTCATCCTGTGTGAGAATGGAGCTCAGAATGAGGAGTGAGACGTCCATTCCTGTCACCTCCAGCGTGGTTACAGGTCCTTCCCCAATACGTGAGCTTCCATAGTCCTGGGCAGAGTGGGACCTCACTGCTTCTTCCCTGTGTTGAAGCTGCAGCTCTGTCTGTAATCGCATTCAAAGGTGATTATATGCCCAAGAGACTCTGGCCATTAGGAAGTGCCCTGAGTGTGGAACATTGCTTACATCGTTGACCTGATGATCGATACGTATGAATGTTGGAATATATGCTGGGTGCCACAAAGAAAAATCAGCACTGAGACAAAGGATCTTTCGGCAACACAATTTTTACTTCCCTGACTGCAGGAAGGGTACCCCTGGTAGCCATCATTCCACAAGAGTACAAAGAGCAAAGGGAATACACACACATTTATTCCTTACGCATTTGGGGTTGTCCTTACTGCTGATGTCTGATCTCCATTGGCTGGAGCCAGACCTCACGTATTAAACTGAAACTGGATTGGCTAACAGCTTCTTTAAACTTTTCTAAACAGGGAAAGGCAACGGAGAGCTGGAACATGCCTGTGAGCAATACAGCACAGGAACCTTGGTTAAAGCACAGGGCCATAGAATGTACTATGTGCCTGCAAGCATGGCACGTCTTCTAACAGCTACATAGTATAGTGCCTAACAAAGTCATTAGCACACTTGTTCTGTAACAAGAAATGAAACTTTTAAAAGTAACCTTTCTACTTTCCACAATGATGAGTTCTTGTGTTCCCCTGTAGGATCTGAATCTGGTTTGGCCCTGAGGCTAGTGAATGGAGGTAACAGGTGCCAAGGCCGAGTGGAACTCCTATACCGAGGCTCCTGGGGCACCGTGTGTGATGACGGCTGGGACATCAGTGATGCCAATGTGGTTTGCAGGCAGCTGGAGTGTGGCTGGGCCACGTCAGCTCCAGGAAATGCCCGGTTTGGTCCGGGCTATGGGCCCATTGTCCTGGATGACGTGCGCTGCTCAGGGCATGAGTCCTACCTATGGAGCTGCCCTCACAATGGCTGGCTCTCCCACAACTGTGGCCATAGTGAAGACGCTGGCGTCATCTGCTCAGGTGCGCCTCCCAGACCGTGGGCTCCCTCCCCTGGACTGGAGTTTGCTCAGGAAGAGAGTCTCAATTACATTCTGATCTCCTCACTGAAAGCTTGTTCTATGTTTCCCATATTTCTGAAGTCTTGTTAGCGTTCTGCTCAGAATCCATATGAATTCACTGCCTAGTGTTCCTGTGGTCACTTGGGACAGGGACCAAACTCAAACTGTAACCCAGACTTTATCCCTATCATGAGACAGTGCAAGGAAGAGGCAGGAGAGAAAAGTGCTGGCTCCCCCAGGCTCCATTTCTCCCCTGCTGAGTAGCACTGGGTGAGGGTGTCGTGGATACAGCACAGACAGTGGGCAAGGAGGGATCCTCTCACTGCGGGAAACTCTGAACTAAGGATGCTTGTCCGGAGGTGGGTTCTCAGCTGAGACCCAATAAGGAGGACTAGAAATAGAGGCACACGGGTTAGGAGTGTAAACGGGTGTCTGTTTGTGTCAGGCTGGGTCACGTGGGGTTGCAGTCCTTGACCACAGCTCCTTTCAGAACACTGCGGAGCACTGCCTGTGCCCTGGGTCTGGTGTGGGGAGGGCAGCCCCCATGAGGCTGGCCAGTCATGGCCTTGTTATAGCCTGTGGTTAGGGCTGGATGATCCCATGAGGGATTTTGCCTGGAGTGGCATCCTCAGACTTGCTGACTTAGGAACTGCCTAGAGGTGCCAGGAAGGGGGTTGGTTTTGGGTCAACCTGGTCACCATTAGTAAACACCAAGCTAGTCTCCTTGAAGCTGGCAGTCATGGACATGATCTGCCCTGATCCGTTCCAAGGAGCATCTCTGTGGGGGTGTGCATGGCAATGTCCATCCCTCTGTGATAGGGGACTAGGATGGACTGAGTGTCCGAGTCGCCCAGTTCCTTCCTCTTTTGTTCCAGTCCTGCCAATTTCTGTTAGTGCATCTGATCTTTCTCTTTTTCTTACAGCTTCCCAATCCCAGTCAACTCCCAGGCCAGGTGAGTCCCCAGCATCTGGGATGTCCCTTGTCTTTCTGCCCAATTACCCCTACCCTCAATCCACAGAGCTCTCCAGCTCCTCTGGGCAAATACTGTGGGGCATATTATTTTCCTACCACTCTGTAACTGAGACCCAGCACAGCGCTTCAACAGACATAGAGGATGGAGGAGGCTTCTGACTTCTGTTCCATTTATCTCAGCTTTCATGAAGCAGTTTCATACTGCACTGTGGGTAAACCTTACAGGTCCAGGAAGTGGCCTCATGTTTAATGAGCTTTGGCTGCTTTATATTCAGATCTGATCTCTCCTTTCTGAGAATTGAGAGTGGTTGATAACGTCATCTGGGAAGGCAATGTCCGAGGAAGCCTTAAATATGCCTTTGTCCATGGGCAAGCAATGTCGGTGCAGGCTTCTACCTCCATCCCTCACTCCTGCCAACACCGCAGATTTTGCAGCGCCAAATCTGCATGCAGAGAAGGCAGACGTCGTGCTCCGCAGGGAGAGGGATACTATTTCTTGTGCCTCCGTGTACCAGGAAACTTGATAGCCCAATGGGCCCCTCCTTGGTTCCCTTAACAGGTGGAACTGCCAGAATCTCAGCAATCGTGTCAGATATGCCCATTAGTCCATGTGTCAGTGGACGGTGCAGGCTAACCTTTGTGGCTCAGAAGAGGACTTCTAGGAGGGATAGGACTGGTCTCCAGTGAGGCCTTTGTTCCTGGCCGAATTCACTGAACTGAAGACTTGTTCAGACACTTGGAACAAGTGGCAGGAACCAGAAACTGAATAGTTTTCATGATGCTTGCGTGGTCCAGAGACCTTTCCTTGTTGAGCTTTTCACCCTCAAGTCTAATTCTGTCCTTTCTCTTTGTGGCAATTTACAGATGCTTGGCCAGCCACTGACTTACCTGCATCGACAATAGGTAAATCACCCTCTCACCGCTCCCTAGAGCTCACTGCCTATCTCTTTCAAAAGTTTCTTTAGAAATTGATGGAATGAGGCTGAAGGTGGGCGCCTTCGCTATTCATGTCCCTGCAGGTTGCCTGGGGAGGAACGTGGCCACCCTGGGAACCTGGTCCTGGGTCTGATGATGGAGGGTGGAGTTGCTGTTGACCAGTCTCCCCTGGGAATCTGTGTTATGTGTTCAGGGAAGATCCTCATCCAGGTGCTCAAGACAGTTCCCTAATCCTCTGGGTTCTTGTTCCTGGGCCTCAGCCAACGGGTACAGAATTGAGCTGAGTAGGGGACAGCACCTATCCCCACAGCTGTCTGGCAATGTCCTGTTATTGCTGGCCCTTTGCCAGAAGCCCGAGAGAACCATATGGGTGCCACGAAACTCCCGACCATGGGGCAGGTCTCGCCCTCCTATCCGGAGCTGTGCAGCTTCATCCTGTGTGAGAATGGAGTCAGAATGGGGAGTGAGGCTTCCATTCCTGTCACTTCTAGAGGGGTTTCAGGTTCTTCCCCAGTACTTGAGCTTCCATAGATCTGGGCAGAGTAGGACATCACTACTTCTTCCACTGCGATGAGACTGAACTGCTTTTCAGAAAGTATTCAAAGGTGATTACTTGCCCAAGAGACTTTGGCCATCAGGAAGTGCCCTGAGTATGGAACATTCCTTAGATCATTGATCTCATGATCCATATGGATGAAGAGTTTTTGTGTTCTTCTGTAGGATCTGAATCTAGTTTGGCCCTGAGGCTGGTGAATGGAAGTGACAGGTGTCAGGGCCGAGTGGAGGTCCTGTACCGAGGCTCCTGGGGCACCGTGTGTGATGACAACTGGGACACCAATGATGCCAATGTGGTGTGCAGGCAGCTGGAATGTGGATGGGCCCTGTCGGCCCCAGGAAATGCCCGGTTTGGTCAGGGCTATGGACCCATTGTCCTGGATGACGTGCGCTGCTCAGGGTATGAGTCCTACCTGTGGAGCTGCCCCCACAATGGTTGGCTCTCCCACAACTGTCAGCACAGTGAAGACGCTGGTGTCATCTGCTCAGGTGGGCCTCCAAGACCTTGGGCTCCCTCTGTTGGGCTGGAATTCGCTCAGGAAGAAAGTCCTAATTACATTCTGATCTCCT